GTGCTTCTAGGTCTACCAGTGGTGAGATTATTCAAGTTTATATCAAAGTTTTTAAGGTCGATATGGTTACATATAGGCCTGTTACAGGTGTCTAGAGGGTGGTCACTTTGTGCACACTTATTTGGAGGATTGGGTATATGTCAGGGTGAGTAGTCAAGATCTACGTCATCGGGCTGGCCATTGTAGGCAGTCGTAATTCGTGAGCCGCTACTTAGGATGGCCGATTTTAAAATTGTTGGGTGTTTGGGGTCAGCCGCACTGTCTAAATACTGCTCACAATATTCGGTGCTCTTTTTGGGACTGACAAATGATGCCGACTCTAACAGCATGTGACTGCTCTTATTCATATCGACAAGCGAGATGCAAGGTAGTGATATGTCTTGTCCAAGTAAAGGGTGCACGTTTAGTGTGGCTGAGGGAAGATCAGAGTAGGATGCAGACTGATCAGTGTGTTTATAAGGTTTCGCATTATTCGCTTTAGTGACAGATTTAGATCTTTTGCAGGTGCTATAGGCATCTGGAGAGATTATATGTTTTTTAGATGGCCTGGACATTATTGGAAGTAATGTTAATTCAAAGTTTAATTAGGTGGATGGCGATAGCTGTAATTTAACTTAGTGAACGTGTAAAGTTTTATGGTAGGATCAGACCCAGTATTAGTTAAGAGTAAATATATTACAGTTAATTGAAGATAGTGAAAGCGTGAAAACTAGCAATATTAATTTATGAGGTTGAGTTCCTAAATAAGGTGTAGAGTTAATAGAACCCTACCGGTGACGAATTATTTATCGCTATCAAGTGTTAAATTAAAGAGAAAAACGGATAGGAAAATTCCTTCACATAACTGTAGTATGGCATCGAGTAGCGGTTGACTATGATGACCACTACAGGAAGACTATGTGCCAATCACCAGGTAAGATCCATCCGTAGACAGAATATCAGAAGGCAATTGAAGGTTGTAGTCAGATGTATTTGTTGACGATCTCGTGGCATCGAAGTAATACCGACATCGTGCCAAAGTTTACAAGCGTGACTACTGAGCGTACACGAGTCCGTGTAAAGACCTAGACAACGGACGAATGTGTTATTAGTACACTTAAACAAATAGGTACAGTGAAACAATTACTGGTACAATTGGTTATAATAATAATTGTTCCCACTATACCAATCGCGTTCTCTTCATAAAAGTAAGTCACCAAATAATTTTGTATTGCATAAAAATATAATTCGTATTCCTTTCGCATTTCATGTTGGAATACCCAGGGTCATAGTTTCAGTTATCAGGTAAAATGTAATGATATTATATATATCACTAACATATGTGATCCGTCGAAACTTGATTAACCTACAAAACAATCAAAAGGAAAATACACATTAGGATAATCTTGAATCGCATTTGAATTTTCTGTAAGTACAAACTCCACACCTGTTCGTTGTGAGATTCCAGTTTGTTACGCTCAAGCTTTCGCTCGTTCCCGTTACTGAAGTACGGTATATCTATGTATTTGCAATTTAGGAACCCAAATTAACAATAGGACCAAACTCCAATTTAGGTACAAGTTTTATTTGCAATTTACAAATAGTCGACCCAAATGTCGTTCTAACAATAATTATAACAATTATGAAAACAAACCTCCAATTTTATAGGTTCCCGGAACGAAGACTCCCAAATACCAAGCCAAAGACAAAAAGAAAACGAAATGTCCGAAAATAATGACATAAACAAACAAGTTCAGGAGTTGAGTAAAACAAATACATCCAAAAACACAGTGAAACTATCAGTATTCAATATAAAGGTTCTATACAGCCAAATGTCTTCAGTGCTCTCGTAACATAGTTAGACATGACAGTTTCTTGTACATGCCTTGTAAATTTTTAGTGTGTGAAACATAATCGTCATTCACAGAGCACTAAAACTAATGTAGTAAAAAATCTAATGAACAGAAGTCCTAAGATTGTTACAGACAAGGAAGACCAACGAGCCGAATTGAATAAAGTATTTTCTACTCTTAAGGATAACAAATACCCAAAAAGATTTTTAAAGAAGATTATTAAAAATGAAAGAAAAACTAAACTAGAAAGTATACGAAAAGAATGGAAGTACACCGTATTCATACCTTACCGTAGTGAAACATCAGAAGAAATCAAACGGATTCTAAACAAGCATGATATAAGAGTACATTTTAGAGCAAATAACACATTAAGATCAACATTAGTGAAAGTTAAGGACAAGTTAGCAAAGGAAGAACAACAAAACATTGTGTATGAGATTCACTGTCATGACTGTAATGCTACCTATGTTGGAGAAACATCCAGGCAGTTGAATGTAAGATTGAAGGAACACAAACAATGCTTGAAAAATGTTCCAAAATCCTCGGTCGATTTAAAGAAACTTGAAAATAAGTCAGCGATAGCATTACATGCGTTAGAAACAGGACACAAGATTAAGTTAAGTATTTCCATTTAGTTGATATCTTCACATGATTTCTAGTTAACTGACTCATCTTATCCTGTTTTACAAAAAACCAACATCCAAATATGATTGGTTTAACACAGTATAATCCTGATTGTTAAAAAGCTATATATTTCTTTATCAGAATGGGTTTTGTGGACATTTTAGAAATTTCACAGATTGAAATCATGAGTCAGTTGAAGCTAGACCACCATTGGAAACCTGGAAGCACTGGACGGCCGTTTCGTCCTAGTATGGGACTCCTCAGCAGTGCGCATCCACGACCCCGCACCACCCGGGGCTCGAACCCAGGACCGTTGGATGCCGGCTCAGTGGTCTAATGGTTAAGTGCTCGCGCGCGAAGCCAGTAGGTCCTGGGTTCGAGCCCCGCGTGGTGCGTGGTCGTGGATGCGCACTGCTGAGGAGTCCCATACTAGGACGAAACGGCCGTCCAGTGCTTCCAGGTTTTCAATGGTGGTCTAGCTTCAACTGACTCATGATTTCAATCTGTGAAATATATTTCTTTGATAATTTTGATTTTGATTATTACCCTGAAGAAGTTCAGACAAGTTAGCTGGACGAAACGTTGGAATTATTCAAATTTCAATTGCTGAGATTATTTCAAATATAATTTTCACATGTAATGACTTCTCTATACTCGGCGCTCAATTACTGTCAAGCTATTCGTTCTAATCTTGACGAATATTCGTATAAATAATCGTCTATACTATACTTCAAAAATTTTTAAAGGCCTAGAATAAAGATAACTTTTGTTACCTTACAAAAAGAATTCAGATTATTTATGTGAAGACTTTATAGTCGCATGCACTAAATGGAATAGAGGACTGAAAATTCAGCAATTCAAGTACGGTGTCATCCAGCATTTCTTCAGGAGGTGCGAATTCTTTGAGTTTTTTGATGAACAGTATGCAAGGCACTTAGTGATTGATGTTAAAAAAGAACAGCTAAGACATTTAATTCTTCAGTCTATTTTTCCTATTGCTACGCCTTTAAAGCCTGATGTTAAAGCCTCTAGAATATGTGGGATTACAGATTAACACTGAATTCCCGTTTGAAGTGGCAAACATGGACTATCATTGAAGTTGAAGAAATTCTTAACCAACTTCGCGGTTTTAAATCTTCGAAAGTTTATTTAAATGTTGTATATCTACAAATTTTCCTAGAACAATCTTCTTTCATTCCAAAAACGATTGATATTCCTTTCAGTCTATTCAAACAGTAGTGTTTGTATGAACTAACGACTGTATATATATATATATATATATATATATATATATATATATATATATATATATATATATATATATATATATATATATATATATATATATATATATATAAGGACGCCTGTCGCTCCTCGTGAAGGGGCATAGGCCGCTCACCAGCATTCTCCATCCAACTGTATGATATTTGATTCCTAATTGATTTCAAATTCTAAATACGATACGTCAGTTCGTGGTCACTTTGTTCTATTTAGTTTAAATTGCACTATTTCGAGAATTATTGGTCAGTACAACAATTCGAACACCTCTAATCACCATATTATCCCAGCAATCAACCGTTCGCAAAGCTTAATTTCCAAATGTCCTAAACATTGAACTTCGTGGTCCGTTCCTGTAGTTCAGGTAAGGAGTCTCTAACCGTTTGGTCATTTTGTCACACAATATTATGAGATTTCTATATTTCTTGATTCGAAGCTGATGCGCTGTTCATGACTGAATAAATTTTTTTTCGAATTTCATGATGCGATGAAATTGGTTTGTCGAGATGTAGCCTGTGATCGTGTGGAGATATGACCGACAAACTTATTTTGTAAATAGTTTTTAATATTATTTGTATTTATTTTGTCAATTTTTCACTGTATGTACATTTATCATTAAATGACTGTACGTGTTGTTTTAGTAAATGACCTTGAACACACTTTCCGTTGTACTACTACATAGCGTGACATACAGCTGCTGGCTAACAAATACACTGCTTCTCACACATTCCTCGTTCTATTTTCATTTGTGACTGAGTTAATGGAAGTCTAAATCAAATACTATCTACATTTATAGACTGTAATCGGAATATATCACATCCTACGTTGGACTATATCACTAGAGAGTTCGCCAACCTGCTCAGAGTCATCAAGCATTTATAATTGTGGATTTACATTACTGGACCTAATCATAACACGCAACGTTTGATCAATTTAAGTAACGTCCCTAATTTTTATTGTATTTATAACAATTAATTTTATATATTAATATTACTATTGATTTTTAATAACTTTGTTTATATTTTTTTGTGTTCATATCTGTTTGGTCCACCACAATTATTTGGTGAGCCTCGATTTTTTTTAAAGACATCTATTATATATATCTACATATTTATTATTATTATTAATTGGCGCGGCACACCATATTTTTTTGTTTTGTTTTTGCCATCATGAACTATCCTGGTAAACTCATTGACTTAAATAGTCCACTGATCAACTTCTTGAACTCTTCACAATCAGAAGATAATGTCTTAACCTCGATCAACGCAATTTCAGACTTAAGACTACCAACGTACGGTGTTAATAATCCAAGAGTCTGGTTTGCACAAATTGAAGCTTTGTTCATGGCTAGAGGCATAAGATCTCAGGCAACAAAGTATGCTTATGTAGTTGGCGCACTCCCTGTTGAGATTGCTGCTGAAGTCGGGGATTTAATCGATCACGTGCCAGAAGCTGAACCTTATGATAAAATAAAGAGAGCCGTAATCCAACGCAGCTCGGTTTTAGACGAGAGAAGACTGCATCAATTGCTAACGTCTTGCGAATTGGGGGACAAGAGACCCTCGCAATTACTCCGACATATGAAACATTTAGCAGGATCATATAAGGTAGACGATGCATTACTTAAACAGATGTGGTTTCAACGTTTACCACAGAACGTCACCCAAATTCTCAGCGTATCAGGAACTTCCGTCAATCTCAACGATCTAACTGATATGGCAGACAAGATGATGGAGATTTATCCCGACAGCCAGCGTTTGAATGTACTACAAACCTCTAGTAGAGACGTGATGAACCCATCTCTAGACATTCAGCAGCAAATAGCACACTTAACTCAGCAAGTAGCATCATTGCAGGCGACCATTGCCACGATCCACTCTCGTTCTACCAGATCGATCTCGAAAAACCGATCAAGGTCCAGACCTCGCCCTAGGTCACCCAAACGGACAGCAGATACTTGCTGGTATCATGCGACTTTCGGGGAGAAGGCACGCCGTTGCACTAAACCATGCAACTTTAAAATAAGCAACCCAAATGACCAGGGAAACGAGACGGCCAGACAATGATGGCGGCGCCTGTTTCTGGCCACTACCCGAGCCGTCTATTTCACGTCAGGATCGAATTTCGGGCTCAGATTTTTTGGTCGATACAGAAGCCGAAATCAGCATAGTCCCATTACACCTTTCTCAAATACGGCACTCGCAAAGTACTAAATTGTCTCTAGTCGCAGCTAATAACACAGTCATTAAAACTTATGGTGAACAATCACTTATCTTAGATCTTGGTCTCCGTAGACGTTTCACATGGGTTTTCATCGTAGCTGAAATAGAACAACCCATTCTCGGGGCCGACTTTCTTGGTGCTTACAGCCTATTGGTAGACATGGGGAAAAAGAAACTTATTGACAAGAACACAAGTTTACAGGTCAGTGGCACTCCTACCTCGAATTGCGAAATTCATGGCGTTCGATTGTTAAAACCTGAAAACAAAATTTTCACTGATATCCTGTCGAAGTACAAAAGCATAACCAGAACTGATTACCAAAGCGAATGCTCCACACATCATGTTCAACACAATATCTCTACTACAGGACCACCCATTCGTGCCAGGGCGCGAAGACTCCCTCCAAACAAGTTGCAGTTCGCTAAGAGAGAATTCGAACACATGATGCAGCTTGGGATAATCAGACGATCTAACAGTCCTTGGGCCTCGCCGTTGCATATGGTTCCCAAGAAAGATCAAGACTGGCGCCCATGTGGAGATTATCGCCGATTAAATAACCAGACTATCCCAGACAGGTATCCAATCCCTCATTTACATGATTTTTCTTTAAATTTACATGGAAAACAGATCTTTTCAAAGTTAGATCTAGTCCGAGCATACCATCAAATACCGATGGCACCTGAAGATATCCAAAAAACAGCTGTAATCACACCTTTTGGCTTGTTTGAATTCTTGAGGATGCCTTTCGGACTAAAAAACGCCGCTCAAACCTTTCAGAGATTTATGGATGAAGTAACTAGAGGTTTGGAATTTGTCTATATCGACGATGTTTTAATCGCTAGTTCTTCCACTGAAGTACATGTTCAGCACTTACACACGCTTTTTGAACGTTTCAAAAGTTATGGTGTTGTAATCAACCCTTCGAAGTGTATATTTGGAGCCTCATCTCTGGAATTCCTAGGACACCACATTGATTCCCAAGGAATTAAACCGCTTGAAGAAAAAGTCAAAGCCATCTCCAGCTACCCAGAACCAACCTCAGTAAAATCACTGCGTCGTTTTCTGGGAACATGCAATTTTTATCGTCGATTTCTACCAAATTGTGCCGATGTACTACAGCCATTGACAGATTTACTGAAAAATGATAAATCAGGTACCAAGTAAGAAAAAAATCAAATATTTAAGTTACCTTCAGATGCTAAAGTAGCATTCGAAAAAGCTAAATCCATGATTGCTGTTTCTACCATGCTTCAACATCTAAATACTGACCCCACAACACTGTTGATCCTATGTACGGATGCCTCACAAAAAGCCGTCGTGGCAGTATTACAACAACAGGTAAACAACATGATTACTCCTATAGCGTTTTTCACCAAAAGACTGTCACCAACTTAGGAACGCTATAGTACTTTCGGCTGGGAGTTACTAGCCATCTACTTAGCTGTCAAGCATTTCAACTTCTTATTATAAGGTCGAACATTCACTATAATGATTGATCACAAACCTTTATGTTACTCATTCAACACTTCGTACGACCGACATTCACCTCGCGAAGCACGACAATTGGATTACATTTCTCAATTTACAACAGACATCCAATATGTCAGAGGACATACCAATGTCGTAGCAGACGCTTTATCACGAAAGGATGTAAATACCCTGGTACGTAAGCAAGACATCGATCTGGAAACAATCGCAAAATTACAAGTAGACGACGCAGATATAAAAAGCTGCAAAGAGAAGTCAAATTTGAACCTTAAACCAGTACCTACACCTTTCTCAAATACATCTATCATTTGTGACGTTTCAACGGGTAACAATCGCCCTTTCGTCCCTCTAGCCTGTCGTCGACAAGTATTTCGCCAACTGCATAACCTTTCTCATCCAGGAATCAGAGCCACAACCAGATTGATTACTGAGCGTTTTGTGTGGCCAAAGATCAATTCAGATATAAAACGATGGACACGAAGCTGTTTACAATGTTAACGCAGCAAAATTCAGAAGCACACGATCAGTCCCGTTGGCAAGTATCCCCTGCCAGAAAAACGTTTTCAACATATCCATCTAGACATAGTTGGTCCACTACCACCATCTGATTCATTCACACACATCCTCACTGCAGTGGACAGATTCACAAGATGGGCTATAGCATGCCCTATTACTGACACTTCCGCAGAAACGATAGCCGGCGTATTCCTTGACCGTTGGATAGCAAATTACGGAGTACCTTCTATCGTCACTACCGACCGTGGTCCCCAGTTTCAGTCTATCTTATTTCAGGAATTCACAAGACTTCTGGGCGTGAACCACATCAAAACAACAGCCTATCACCCAGCAGCTAATGGTTTGGTCGAAAGATTTCACCGCCAATTAAAAAGCTCGCTGATGGCACAAGATGATTCAACAAAATGGAGTGATGCATTACCACTCGTACTTCTGGGAATACGTTCAACTATAAAGGAAGATATAGGTTGTACGGCCGCCGAGCTAGTTTATGGTACAACCCTTACATTACCAGATCAACACCAACGGATTCAAGTCATTTTACTAGCCAACTGCTGCACACCATGCAACGAATCAAAGCTATACCGCCTCGTGAACATAACAATCAAATACAACTCGACAAAAACCTAGAAACATACAAGTTTGTCTTCGTTCGAGTTGATGCGGTTAAAAAGCCTTTGAAACACCCTTATGAAGGACCATATCAAGTAATTAAAAGAACGAACAAACACTTCATAATCAACAAGTGTGGAAAGAAAGAGACTAACGCTATCGATAGGATAAAGCCTGCTTTCTACGAAGCACAGCACGACAAAGAACATACTACTTCACTGAACCAATCCCTTCCAGCAACCACCACTACAGCAGATATGGAAGAAAAATCGAGTAACAAACCTACTTGTTTAACGCGTTCAGGCAGACCTGTAAAAAAACCCAAACGCTATGTACATTTCGACGAATAAAAAAGAAATCGAAACACGCAATTATTGATGTACTATTAAATTCACCCGATTTTTTACAACAAAATTTATAATTTTTTTTCCTTTTTTCAGTGTACATAACTAATCACATTTTTCCACAATTGCTCGTTTTGTCAGTTTCTAAAAAAAATTTTTTTTGGTCACAATAATAAACGTGTAAACTCTATTTAATTACCCATTTATTGTACACAAAAAAAAAATACATCAACAGTTCATTTTTTGGAGGGTCATTAGCAGTTTTGCACATTGTTATTATCATTGTTAGCCAACCAAGTCATTAAATGGCAGTGTTTTCATTTTTTTGGTGGGTGTGTTTATTATGCTATGCTATATCTCTGATACTGGTCATACTCATCTCCACATTTTTGTTAGCTATAACTGTAAATATTATTTTTGCATACATGTATATATCATACCCTTACATTTTTTTTTATTATAACCAGTGTTACCTCCGGACACTCTGGGGGCAGCTATGTGGAGATATGACCGACAAACTTATTTTACAAATAGTTTTTAATATTATTTGTATTTATTTTGTCAATTTTTCACTGTATGTACATTTATCATTAAATGACTGTACGTGTTGTTTTAGTAAATGACCTTGAACACACTTTCCGTTGTACTACTACATAGCGTGACATACAGCTGCTGGCTAACAAATACACTGCTTCTCACACATTCCTCGTTCTATTTTCATTTGTGACTGAGTTAATGGAAGTCTAAATCAAATACTATCTACATTTATAGACTGTAATCGGAATATATCACATCCTACGTTGGACTATATCACTAGAGAGTTCGCCAACCTGCTCAGAGTCATCAAGCATTTATAATTGTGGATTTACATTACTGGACCTAATCATAACACGCAACGTTTGATCAATTTAAGTAACGTCCCTAATTTTTATTGTATTTATAACAATTAATTTTATATATTAATATTACTATTGATTTTTAATAACTTTGTTTATATTTTTTTGTGTTCATATCTGTTTGGTCCACCACAATCAAACAGTTCGACATACATTCAAATTTTGATGCTTTTGAGGTTTATATGGAATGGTTCGAGATCTGGACTATGATCAAGGAAGATTTTGAGGATGATAATATTGTGGCCCATTTCCTTACGTTCATCGAGAAAATAGCCTACAGCCTAATAAAAACTTTTGTATTTCTACAAAAGCCTATTCCACTTTCCTATGCAATTCTCAAGGAACTAATACTATACCAAGACTCCATGTAATGCTCAATAACTTACTGAAATCAGATGGTGATGTAAAAATACCGCCTAATATACCGTATTCTGAGCGTAATCCCATCAGGAACATTCCCAAAGAACCTCACAAGACGCTTAATCGAGGATTAAATATCATCGGGCAAGTTGTGTCAGAAGACGCGAACCCTGACCACACAGAATATGATATTCGGGAATGGAAATTTATCAAACCGTTTTTGTAGCCCAAAAATATGTTGGCTCAACAAGTGGTGAGACTAGCTAAGAAGGAGGGCGATTCTAGAACCCGGCTGATGAAGAATAACCTTCCCATCCTCCCATATGGCGGCTTCAACTGTCGAAGCAT